TCCTAGTAGTATGGCCAGGAGCCCCTAGTAGCTTCTTGGTACTTGTAGTAAGAACCTCTAAGACCAGATTAGACTATTTTCTAACTATTAGTCTATTTCAATAATTCTAACTAATAGTTAGAATTCAAATAAACTAATAGTATAAACTAGGGGATAATTTAAAGTCTATTTTGTTGAATAGACTCGAGTCTATTTTGCTAAACAACCTTGGAATGTCAAGATTATGTTGGAAAAACCTGAGATCTTGTAAAGACATTTTGTTAGTTCATTTTAGGTGTTTGTGGTCACACCTTTGAAAAACACAAACTTGAGCAATGTGTGTGGCCCAAGTAACATTGAGCAGAGCCTAAGTAACATGGCCTAGGTAACCGTACATGGCCTAAGTAACATGCAAATTTTCTTTCAAACTCACATCACAAAGTATTTTTGGTGTCAAGTGTTGTGGAAGGCTCACAAGCTTCCAGAGGATCAGCAAGACTGACAAAAGGGTAGATGTTGTAGTTTCATGAAGAAACAAGTTTTGTCTATGTTTGTCCTAACTAGCATCGCACACATCTCCTTTCTTTGCTTTGAGCACCTGTGGCACACATGGCCGTCTCTAAGGGAATGAAGGTGTACCCTTCCAGTGGTGTGATGGACCTGCAAAGAGTGCTGCCAAAGGAAATGAACAGAGGAGCTGACAAAGATCTGTTTTCTTGTTTGAAGCATCCTACCAATGCTCAGTGGAGTTGGAAGACAAGTTCTTGTCCTCAATGGATGGCTCAATGTCATGAAATGTTGGTGTATTTCTTGAAGATTGCACCAAATGGGCTACTATAGGTCAGCCAAAGTTAAGCTAGCACTACAGAGGATGATCCAAGACTGTTCAAAAATGGTCAACAAAACACACTTCCATACAGCTGACTTTGTGGACCAGGTAGATCAAAGGATTCGTGTTTTGCTTGCACAAGCCAGAGGCATCAAGAAGAACCATGAAGCTTACGCAACAGCAATGAGGAAGGCCACCTTCGATTCCAAAGAGAAGGTTGACACCATTTTGGAACACCTGCAGTTGGACGGAGCTGATGACAGTACTCCTTCGACAGTACTCGCTCCACAGCTGATGACAGTACTCCTTGCATTTTACTTCACCAAATAGGTCAATATTACGTATACAAGCCCAAACAATATTTCAATAAATATATGGAAATATTGCATTTTAAAAAGTCAAATTCAACTATGACACCAAAGTGACACAAAAGTGACACTAATAGTGCAACTTTTATTTTGAAACTGCAACTTTTTCAGTGTAGTTTTACATAAAAGTGACACTTTAAGTGTCAGTTGCAATGTATTTGTGTCGGTTTTGTGTCGGTTTTGTGTCGCTTTTGTGTCGGTTTTGCGTCGCTTTTGTGTCGCTTTTGTGTCGGTTTTGTGTCGCTTTTGCGTCGGTTTTGTGTCACTTTTGTGTGTGTCACTTGTGTCGCTTTTGTGTCACTTTTGTGTCACTTTTGTGTCGCTTTTGTGTCGGTTTTGTGTCACTTTTGTGTCGCTTTTGTGTCACATTTTGTGTGTGTGCGTCACTTTTGTCGCTTTCGTGCCGCTTTTGTGTCACTTTTGTGTCTCTTTTGTCACTTTTGTGTCACTTTTGTCTTACTTTTGTGGCACTTTTGTGTCGCTTTTGTGTCGCTTTTGTGTCAGTTTTGTGTCAGTTTTGTGTCACTTTTACGTCGCTTTTGTGTCACTTTTGTGTGTCTTTTGTGACACTTTTGTGTCAGTGTTCAGTACTTTTATGTCAGTGTTATAATATGTTTCATGTTTTGCTTACGTCTTTTGTGATTTTGTTTGTTAAGTTCGTGTAGGTTAGTTGAAATGGCTAAATGAAAAACTAGGCAACTACATGCACAGTAGTATGAGTCCACTGTGGTTATCTATCTTGAAGCATTTGGCAACTTGTATTATGTTTGTTGTGTTGTCTTTTGTGGCTCCAGAGTTGCTTTGTTGCCACAAAGTGTTCTTGTGCATATGACAGTAAAAATATGTAAAAATAAGCAGCACAAAGTAAAGGACACAAAACAAACCGACGCAACGAAAGACAAAACGTGACATAGAACAACTCAAACATAAAAGTGAATCTAGGTAGCATTCAGTGGGGGTCTAAGTAGCACTTGGTGACCAGCCACGGCTTCACCAAACAAGAGGGAAGCAGCTACAGAAGAAGCAGCTACCCCTGCCAAAAGTGCACGGCAGGCTTTGGCACCTACGACACCATGAAAAGGCCAGCAGTATCAGTCAAGCCTCATGCAAAAAGCAAGGCAAAAGCACCACAGCCAAAGGCGAAGCCAACCATAGAGAAGAAGAAGGAGAAGGAACAGAAGGCAAAAGCCAAGAGTAAGCCCAAAGCAGTTCCAAAAAAGCATGAAAAGGACAGCTTTTCAGACAAAGTGCAGAAGTGGAAGCTGAAGGAAGACCACAAAGGTGATGAGCCAGAATCAGATGATGCTGGTGAAAGTGGTAAAGGCGATGCAACAGTAGCAGCAAAGAGGGACTTGTCTAAGACAAGAAAATACAAGAGGTTGTCCGATGCAAATGCAATTCACCAACACAACTCAGAACATGCACATGGCCTCAGTAACAGTACATGGCCTATGATAAGTAACATGCACGTTTGTTTTTCACAATATAACACCACAAGTTTAGGTATATGTTTGTATCCTGATGTTATTCTATAGAATAACCTCAAGGTTATGTTTCAAAATAGACTATTTCTCAGTCTAAATTCAAGTCTATTTAAAATAGACTAATAGTTAGAAAATAATCTAGAAAAGCTGTTCTAACTATTAGTTAGGAAATAGTCTAATCTGGTCTTAGAGGAATGCTCCGAGTAGCGACGCCAGGAGCAGCGTCCTTGCTCCTAGTAGTATGGCCAGGAGCCCCTAGTAGCGTCCTTGCTCGTGGTAGTAAGGCGAGGAGCCCCTAGTAGCTTCTTGTTATTAGTAATAAGAATGCTCCTAGTAGCGATGCCAGGAGCCCCTGGCCCTAGTAGCGTCCTTGCTCCTAGTAGTATGGCCAGGAGCCCCTAGTAGCTTTGTGTGACTAGTAATAAGAATGCTCCTAGTAGCGATGCCAGGGGCCCTAGCGTCCTTACTCCTAGTAGTACGGCCAGGAGCCCCTAGTAGCGTCCTTGCTCCTAGTACTAAGGCCAGGACCCCCTAGTAGTTTTTTGTTACTAGTAGTAGAGCCAGGAGCTACTAGTAGTTTCTTGCTCCTAGTAACGATTCCCCTTGTTCCTAGTAGTTTCTTGTTACTGGTAAAAAGGAACTACTGATAGCGATGCCTTTGTTACTAGCAGCGATGCCCTTTGCTACTAGTAGTTTCTTTGCTACTTGTGTCTTAGTCTTTATTTGAGGATTTGTTGTATATTTTTTGGGCATACGCATTTGGTCACTCTGTGACGTTGCTGTTAGGTGGTGTGTTTTCCATGTGTTTGGACGTATAACGCACAACTATAGATTTACCTATGACCTACCTGACCTAGAGGCACCTGGACACCTGGACATAAAAGATAATGAACAAGACAAAAATTCTGTAACACGGGAGATCTCAGATGGGCTTGAAAGGTGTCTTTGCCAACTCCAGCTGCTGAAGCGCTGGCCCAACCAGACGGGCTCGTGTTGACCACCACAACCACCACAACCACACAGTCCAGGCCCTTGGTGAGAAGAGCTGAGGAGTTGGGTCAGATCACATTGAACAGTTTTTGAACTGAGTCTTTTGAATAGTAATTGAGAACACTTTGCATTTTCTACAGCTCCGCCCTGAACTGCAACATGAGCTGGTCTGACTTCGGGTAGCAGTCACCCTAGTAAGGCCGGTTTGGACTCCTGCCACCCAGCCAAGTGAAGGGTGAGGGCCATAGCCAGCGGAATTGCAAGTTCTGGCATTGACAGCAAAGCAAACATGTCAAAGAAAAAACGGACTGGTTGAGAGTTGAGATCTGCTCATGAGAGCCGCATTTTGCTCAAAACCAGCCAATCTCCAAACCGCAACATGTGGACATGTCATGCAAACCGACAACCCTCGGCAAACATGAAAGCTGGCTTGAGGGCCGATGTCGAATCAAGTCCAACTGAAGGTCGAATCAGTCGGGGAGTGGTGATGCCAATCTTGCAGATGACACTGGCTTTGATGTGGGACTCTGAGACACCTCCAGATGCCTTTTTTCCCGGTGCTGCAACACCTCTCTCTCTCTCTCTTTCTCTCTCATAATTTTCTTCTTCAGCTCTCCTCTTTGAGTGAAGCTTTCTGGCTGAATCAATAAACAGATAGATACCCATCATGCTTGTCCCCTTTTGCGACCTGATTGCAGAAGGTGTCCGGTCGGTCTTCCCAAGATTCTCTCCCAAGATTGGAAAGCGTTGGATCATGATTTGTGCTCCTTTCTTTGGTACTGCGGTCACACAAGGTGCAACTGAGCAGCGTCCCCTTTTGTTGCTTTGGTTGCTTTGCTGCTTTTCTGCTCTTGTTGCTTCTGTTGATTTTTGTTGCTGCCTGGTCTACTGTGCTGCATTTGTTCCTGTTCAGTCTGCATTACTGCACAGCTTGCACACACTCGTGTTTCATATATTCTTTAGCTGCGCAAACACATTAGACAGAGAAGCTTCAATACGCTTTGCGCATATGTATGTCATGGTGACATTTAGAGGAGGAAGGGGCCATTGCAAGGTAGCAAACCTTTTGCGAGGCACCCGACGAAACATTTAAATTTAGAGGAGGAAGTCGCCATTCCAACATAGCAGACCTTTTTGTGAGGCACCCGAGGGTAATATTTAGAGGAGGAAGGTGCTATTCCAACATGGCAGACCTTTTGTGAGCCACCTGACAGTAAAATTTAGAGGAGGAAGGAACCATTCCAACACAGCTGCCCATTTATGAGCCACCTGATGGCATGATGGTGAAATTTAGAGGAGGAAGGTGCCATTCCAACATAGCAGGCCTTTTGTGAGCCACCCGAGGGTGAAATTTAGAGGAGGAAGGTCCGCAGTTCCTTTCCCCAGGTTGCCGTAAATAGCAGCAAACTGTGAGACCCAACGGTTTTGAAAAATGAAAATCTGAGTTAAAAGTGCACCCTATTCCAAGTGGCCTGAGGCTCGTTGGATTCTGCTGATCATCTCCATCCCGTTGGCCTTCGCGCTCGCCATTTTCGTAAGCCGTAGCCTGCGCCGCTACTTCACTGCCTCCCATGAGACGGTGACTGAGGCAGACAAGGCCAGGCGTGAGAGGGTCAGGCAGGGGTGAGTCGAAGCAAAGACTTATACATGATCACGATCATGACACTATTTCGTTCAACTACATCTTCATTATTTTTCAACGGTTCCTACCTTGGTCTCAATTGAAAAGGGTGCCAGTGCATGCTGACGCCAAAGGTTTTGCTGCAGCTTCAGTGCTGAGTTTCTTCACTAGAGTCACTAGCAGAAGCGACCAATCTACCTGCCTGAATGCCCTCATTGGGAGCCCTGCACACAGTTCAATGTGGACGTCCAGTAAGTCTTGGAGTCTCCGTCTATAGTGTCTCCGCTTCGCCTTAGGTGGACTTTCAGTATGTCTTGAGGGAGGAGCGCCTCAGCGATGATGCAGCCGGTGACGTGAGCCTCAACCAGGCGACGGGTGAGGAGATGACCAGGCTACGACGTTTCCCTCAAGGAAAACGGGATGAACATGGACATCGTACCACCGTAGCTAACTGCTACAGCGCCCGCCCAGGTTTCTCAGAGTACACATTTGAAGGTGATCCGCTGTAGGGAATTGACCGCGGTTGATTTTATGTTTCCCTTCTCCCTCCTGACTCGTCTCACAACAACATCACCCTCATACAGTATCACAAGGAAAGGATGTGGTTGGGGACGGACCTTCCCTCCCAAAACCCATATTGTATCTAAATTTATTGTTGGGCCCCATATGTCTCATTGCTGTGGCATCGGCGGTGGACAGAGCACCAACTTCGGTCGCCTTTTGCCATTTGCCCCCTCATTCTAACTCATCATAGGCTGTGCCAGGCTTTGGGTAGAACCGGTTAGAAATTAGAGTGAAGAGATCGTGCTGCTCTCACAGTGCCAGCAGGTCAAGGGCCATGAGCGGAGGCAAACGATGCGCGCGCAGCGTGAAGATCTTCATGCCGCCATGACCACAGGCACGATGTGCACCAGAAATCAGATTATTTACAGTAGCATTATATATATATATAGCTGCCTATTTGAAGATTTTGTTTGAGTTTCCAAGGTGCCTAAACCTTGGCGTCGTTATGTTTTAATCGCATGCACAGGTGATGTTGTTATACGGACCCTGAATGGGTAAAGGAGCGGTCGCTTGTAAGGCATCGGGTTTGGTCTTCGGGACGCAAGGCATTTTAGAAGCTGCTGCCGCAGAGGTGGAAGCGGAGACAGAGCAACCGGAGGATGAGGTGCACAACCACACACACACACTGTTCCACTTGGATTTCTACTCATCATAGTGCTTTCGGCCTGTTCAAACATGCGATCAGCAGTGTCTTTCACTGGATTACAGGAGCGAACGTATGACCTTGCAAAGCTGGGCGACCAAAAGCAGATGCCGACGATAGGCATCCCATGGGTGGAATTGACCGACATGGGCTGTTCGAATTTGTTGCTCGTGGATGCTAGTAGGCTCAATCATTGAGACTTGGGTGACCTGGGATGGGGTTGTTCTAAATAGAATCTAGTAGGACATGTTTGCAAATGTTGCACGGGCTCCACTTTCGTGAGGCCTAGGCTTAGAGACTCTTCAGAATCCTGAGAGACGTGTGGAATCTGAGTGTGGAGCAGCCATGTGGCACTGACATTGCAATTTGACAAACATACAATTCACCAGATTTGAATGGAAGGTGTCACATTGACTGACATGTTTTTTTCATGGTCTCGGTAAATGTCTCAGTTCAGCTTAAACAGCGGCTTGCTCTCCCCTGCACAATGATTTTGCGACCTTACTTGATGCTGAGCACAGAGCTCCGAGGTCAAACGCCCAGACCTTAATGTTTGTTGGAGGTTTACATTGAATTGGTGGTTGATCAAGAAACATTTCATTAGTTTCATCCATGGAAGGACCATTAAGTTGAAGTTGAGGGCATGTCGCTTCAATTTTGCTTCATTAGTGCCAGCCTTGAGGCAAGCCCCGGATTGTATGGTGGATGTCAGGAGCGCTGTGACTTTGACTCTGACGACTCTGGGACAAGCACCGTGTTTCGCTGCACTCCGACTGGCCAGCAAGATGGTCAGTCAAGCCACAGACCAACGTGGGCTTTTTCACCAAAGGGCCTAACTAAGCAGAGCCGGTAGTATACGGTCTTGTCTTGTTCAACTCCAATCCCTTGTGGCCAAATGCCTCCATTGGAGCAATGACGAGTGGATTGCTCTGTGTGTTTCGAAATATTGTAATGCAATCTACAATTATTACGCCGTGCAGTGTGCACCAGGTTTATCGAAGCATCGTTTGAAAAGATCATTTTGATCATTCTTGATCGAATCAACGTGTTTTCTGAAACAATGTTTCGAGGACAACGTTACTACGAACCTTACTACGGTGGGTATATAGCTGCAGCTACAGTGAACAACTTCCTCGTCGGCTGGCAGTGTATTTTCGAGCTTCCACATTCTCAATCTCTCGAGCGTGCTGATCACTTTTCAAGTTTCCACACATGAGTAGCCGAGTAGCCTCTCTTCAAAAAATTGCGTCCATGGACCTGTTGAGTGTCCACATCCGGAACGTCTCGCTCTTGAATGCTTTTGACAATGCTGGCAGATACGCTCTTTGAATGACAGCTGGCTTTGGGAACAAACACATACTTGTTCAAAGGGTTTCTGTACGCTCCCCCAAGAATAGCCCCATGCAATGTTATGTTATATTTGAAAATCAACAACAACAACAACAACAACAAAAACAACAAAAACAACAAAAACAACAACCACAACGACAACAACAACAACGCTTGACGCGCTTTCCGCTTGACTAGGAAAATCAGCTCAGGCCTCCAAGAGTTTTGTGTAGATTGTGTAGACTGGACTCAGTGTCATGAGCGCAGACCACCGAGTCATCGACTAGCTAAAACGTTACTTGTATGACAAGTGCGTCCACGTGGCCGACATAAATACTTGCGAAGGAGACTCCTGGAGAAGACCAGTAGCCACACTTCGCAGGATCACATTGAGTAACCGGATTCTTCATATTACTGGTAGTCTATGGCAATCACAAAATTAGCCGGAACATGCAAAGGCATGCAAAGGCATGCAAAGGCATGGGTTGCAAGATGTTGCAAGATTTCGTGGCTTCTGGATGGGCGCTGCCGCAAAGGGGACAGACGGGTGGGGGCGAGACAACTATGCGACAAGTTTGCAATCGGTTGGCCAACGACGTACGATGTGCAGTTTGTCTCTGAGATGGAAAGAGCCTTCACCGTTGTTGAACACATTGTGAAGAATTGACTTGGCCTGCTTGGAAGACAAGACTTCAAAACCAGGCATTCAAGCGCACTGAAGGTCTTAGACTTGGACAATTACAGTCTCCAGTAGCTTGTGTGTGTGACCCAATGTTTGGCATCGCCCAACCCCTTGTCCACGTTCACAGGGACAATGTCTTGCTTTTGTTGCTTTAGCCACTGCCTGGCCTTGCAATCAAGCCAAGTGCAGTTCTTCACAACCGTTCTCGACCAATGCTGCAAACTCACTGTTTTTTGGGCAAATCAACACGCTTTGCTTTCTTGCCGTCTCAACCGCTGTTATGCACTGAGTGCTTATCATTCTCGATCAGTCAGTGCAACCAGCATTTGTGGACCCATGGATTGAAACTCGGTTTCGGCTTCCAGGAGTGCCAGGAGTGCATGCGCATGTCTTCGACTTTTTTTGCGGGGGGGAATCTCCGCTCTCACGACAAGGTCAACAAAGGAATTTGCAGCCTTGGGATGCTTGCCATGGTGCCTCCGGATTGAGAAGCTCCCCCTGCAACACCTTCCACTCTTCGAATATACCGCACAAACGCTGCTTCACCTTGTCCGGGTATGTCGGGGTTGGTTTTTGCTGGAACTCAAAAGGCTGGTTGATGTACCACAAGGACCTCTTGGCATTCCGTGGTATGTTTGAGCCGTAAGTCTTTCCAAGCTCTGTTGATGTCATAGGTTTGACTCGACCGTTTCGGAGCATCGTCATCACCCAAGACAGGCTTGGCAATGGCAACGTATTCTTACATCTAGTGCCATTTGTGGTCTGCTTTTAGTTGAAACTGTTAATATCTAGGTTGGAGATGGTTGGAAGCCATCGCTACTAGGTTGGAGTCTATTGCTATAGTTTGGAGGCCATTGATACTGGCTTCCTCGCACAAGTCAAGTCCTTTGTAGTTTTAAAGCTTGGTTATTGTCATCATTGCGCGGAAAGCTGCGAAAGACCTTTCTTGAAGACTTTCCTCCACTTCTGCGTGTTCAAACGCGGCGATGGATCTAGGCATTCCAAGACGTGACCTGGCATATCAGGGCTATGCTATGCAACATGTCCTTCAATGAGCATTTGCTGCTTTGACATGGAGTGTTGCTCTTCGAGAAGGGCTATCTTTTTCCGTGCTATCATGTTTTGCAGGCCTGTCAATGAAACTGCAGCTGGCTGTCCTTGCGCTGAGGGTCTGCCTGTAACTGACGAAAGGTTTGACTGGTCGTTGCGGATCACAGATCTTCACCTCATTGCTGCAGCCTTGGCTGTGCACGCGAAATTTGCTCGCCTGTGCACGCGCTTTGAATTTCTCGGTTGTGCACGCGCTTCCTCGGTTGCGCACGCCGCTTTGCTCGGCTGAATGAATGAAATGAAATGAAATGAAATGAAATGAAATGAAATGAATGAATGAATGATATGAAGGAATGAGTGAATGAATGAAGGAAGGAAGGAATAAAGGAACGCAGGTATACATGAAAGATTCAATGAATGAAATGAATGAGTGTGCTGCAAGTGCTTCACATTCATATTGACACCCCCAACCTTCAGCTTGTCCAGAGGGGCGTTTTTAACACCCCCATCCCCCCCACCCCCTATCCCAACCCAACAACATCAATCAAACGCAGAGCATCTGTGTTACATGGTACTGTGGAAGCAATTAGCAAAAAGAGATCATCATGTGTATGAAAGTCCGGAGGGACGCTAGTAACACCCCCCCAACCTCACCCCCCACCCCTCCACCCCCACCCCCCTTCCCCAACCCCAGCTGACCCCAACAACAAATGTAAATTTCATCAGAAAACGAGCATGTGTGTGGAGACCTGACCCAACGACATATCATGAAAGCATGACATATCATGTTCACATCACATCAACTCAATTTGTGTGTGCGCAGGTGAGCGAAATCTGTGTGCGCAGGTGAGTTTGAGGTACCAGTGTTGTACAGGTTCCTGTGTGCGCAGGTGAGTTACTTGTACCAAGAAATGCTGTGTGTACAGCTGAGCGAATCTTGCGCGCGCGAGTGAGGCACCGTCCTTGCTGCAGCAGAACGAAATTCACCGCGGCCACTCAGACCTGGTGGTGCTCTAGTGGAACGATTTGATCCATGTACATGGCGACAGTCTAAATGAATGGCAAACCACGTCAACTAACAAGATCGTAAAGCCGCAGACCCACGCATGCGGGTTTGTTCACCAAAGATACCAAAGGGCCTAACTAAGGAAAAACATTTTGACCGTTGTGGTGTTGTTCATTTCCAAGCCCTTGTGGCCAGATGCCTGCATTAAGAATCATATATAGAGACCCACATGTTTCAGTGCACTCCGACTGGTCGATGGGTTGCACGAAGTTGTTGTTGTTGTTGTTGTTGCTGTTGTTGTTGTTGTTGTGGGCGCCCAGGAGTTTGCGACAAGGGACCGGCGAGATGATGGTACGCTCACAAACCAATTTGACAAAAAGGCCGGACATTTCCACAAATCACGATGCACGGAGTGTGGACCGAGAGGGGCTTTGACGACTTTGGAAACAATATTAAGTGGATAAAGAGCTGGCTGGTGTGTATGCTTGCGTTGCACAGCCAGGAATGAATCAGTATTTCTTGTGCGGATGAAGTGCTGAAGTCATTTGCGAGATCACAAAAGCAGGGGTTGGTCCGTGGCGTGGCATCCTTTGCCAGGGAGAAGCGTTCCATATTCAAGAAGGCGCTTTGGGCGTGTTGCTGGGCTGAAAAAGCGGCAGAGAGGTGACGAGTCTTTGTAGGGGCGGATATCAGGATACAAAAGGTTTGAACTTGACAAGAAACTCGGCCACACGAGGTTGGGCAGAAGTATGGTTTGGCTCTCAGAATTTGCCAGGTTACGAAGCTAACCGTAGAGTGAAATTTCTCAAGCCCTCAGCCATTGCAAGTGGAACAAAAACTGCACAGTGCCATCAGGTACAGCTTTCTCGAGGCGTTCCCGCTTCTAAACAAATGCTGCCGTTGTGACAAACTGAGAGTTCGGGTCAGAACAGTGAGGGAGAGAGAGAGAGAGAGCGAAAGCGAAACAGTGTTGTAGCAAACCAAAAACAATGAAGTACCCGGAGAACCCAAACAAGCAGCTGGGTGTTTATCCAACCAACAAACGCCCAGGGGTGTCTTTTGCAGAGGACAATGTTTCCGTAACTTGGAAGTTGTCCACGGGATATTTACCGAAGACAACGTTTCCGTAACTTGGAAGTTGCGCTCGAAGGAAAAAGGCTTTCCATAGCTCGGAGTGTTTTGCCCGTAGCTCGGAAATTCGATTTTTTTAGAATATTCATTCCCCAGGATTGAGTTGATGGTTTTCCATTTTTCCATCCAGAACCATGGTTCCTGCAGATGCCAGTTTCCCGCTGTTCCCTAAGGGCTCCGATGTGCATAATACGCGCGCAAAGAATTTTTGGACAGACAAAGTGACACAGTCATGGTTTCGATGAATTTTCTGAACATGTGTCGGCTTTTGAACGGAAGACTCGCCGCAGGTCACGAATTTAAGTTCACGTCTAATTTTTAGGAGTGGAGCTCTCGGGGCGCATGGCATGCAGCAGGGGCGTTGCAGCCATGCACGCAGGGGCCTGCCGCATTTACGCAGGCGTGCACGTTCTTGGGATCTGCAGCTGGATCGTTCAATGAAGGATTAATTTGGTATACAGATGCGCAAAATGTGACGCTCTCTTACTTTCGAAGGCTTACGGCTCAAGGGCGGCGCGCAGACATCCATGGATGGGTCTCGGTTCCGGCCCCCGGTGAGGTTTGATTTTCCAAAGGCCCTTCCCAAAAAAAATGTTTTTGACTGCCCCGATGCGTGCGTTACGACGCAACGTCTTCACGTGGAGAGCCAGCTCCCCAGCTCCCCGCCCCCTGAGCTTGAGCGATCTCCCCCTGATATGGAGCCACCTCGCACGAGGGAGACGGCGCAACCTCGTCGACAGGAAAGGGTGGAAGTGTACCCACCTGTGTCGCTGGAGCAAAGGTTGGAACTTCTTCTGGCTGAGTACGGTGAGGATGACAAGGCCCAACAATTAATATTTTCATTCATGCAAAGATATGGAAACAGCAGACCTGGACATTTTCAATTGGCTCCCTTTTTTTCACCCTTGAACAATGTTTTTCACCTTACCTTCTTTTCCCACCCTCGAAACCTTTTTTCACCCTCAAGATTCCTTTTTTCCCCCACCCTTTGGAACCTTTTTTCCACCTTTCCAAAATCTTTTATTTTCACCCTGCACCCTGTCATTTTCACCCTTTCTTTTTCACCCTCGACTCTGTCTTTTCAACCCTCCGCCGGTGAAGCCAGTAACCCCTAGAACCTGCACAGAGAACGATGTCACCTCCGGTTTGTTTCACAACGCTTGTCCCTGCACCTGCCAAACCTTTTGTTTTCACCTCAATAGCTTCTTGTTACTAGCCCTTCGGAACCCTCCGGAAACTGCGTAGACACTGTCCGGAACGACGGGAACCGCCGGAAACTGACCCGGACGCCTCTGGAACGTGAGGCAGCGCAGGATCCATCCATCCATCCGTGCATCCATCCATCAACGGAGTGCCAACCAACCGACCAACCAACCAAGCAACAACGTGGCCAAACCAACAACCAACGAAGCAACCAACAAACCATGCAACCAAACCACATAACTCCGTGTTTTCCCCAAGTGCTGTAGATACTAGAAATCCCGCGCGGGGGAGGCTTGATTTTTGCATTGCAGGGGAGGTGCTGCGCCCTCCCCATTTACACAGCATCCACCCAACCACGCATCCATCACCGGAGCGCCAACCAACCGACCAACCAACCAAGCAACAACGTGGCCAAACCAACAAGCCCACCAAGCAACCAACAAACCAAGCAACCAAAGCAAACAACAAGCAAACCAAATCCAAGCAAACAACAAGCCAAGCAGCCAAGCAGGCCGAACCAATCAACACACCAACCAAAGGAAGGAGAGTAAAAAAAGAAAGGGTTGGTAGCCCACCAGCAGCAAACAAACCAAGCGAGCAAACGTTTTCCCCAAATGCTGTCGATACTTGTTTTGCATTGGTAGCCCACCAAGCAACCAACAAACCAAGCCTTTTACACTCCATCCATTTATGCGTCCATGCATGCATCCATCCCCGCCCGCCATTATTTACAGACCATCCATCCACCCACCCATCAAACAAGCAAGCAACAAACAAACCAAGTAACCCAAACCACACAACCCTGTGTTTTCACCGAATGCTTTCGATACTTGGTTTGCGTTGCTGGGCGGGCGCTGCGCCCTCCCCCGCACCCCCTCCCGCCTTCATTTACACAGCATCCATCAATCCATCCATCCACCCATCCACCCATCCATCAACCAAGCACACAACAGAAAAAATGCATGTCCATCAAGCACTGTATCACGCAAGCAATCAACAGCAAGCAAACCAAGCAACCAACGCACCAAAAAGTTACATTTTTCTCCTTGTCCATGATCATTTATCACTGTATGTGTTTTCCCCAAATCCAAGCAACCAACAAGCCAAGCAGGCCGAACCAACCAACACGCCAACCAAAGGAAGTGGGGTAAAAAAGAAAGGGCGGGTGGCCCACCAAGCCACCAGCAAACCAAGCAACCAAACTGTTTCCCCCAAATGCTGTCGATACTTGCTTTGCATTGGTAGCCCACCAAGCAACAAACAAAACAAGCAACCAAAGCCACGCAACCCGCTTTTGTTGATGTCATCCTCTGCGTGCGTCGCAGCAGCACCTTTTCGCAAATATCGCTGGCGCATCTTTGGGGTCAACTATATTCAAAAGGTTGTTACAGCCCAACACACTGCTCTTCAAAAAGGAAATGCAAAGCCGCACGGTAATGGCGGCAAAGCTTGGCAGACTGTTGGGGAACTTTGTCCTCGAGTGCATGTCTGGGCTATGGACTGCATCTTTTGTATGACACTTGCTTGTAATGTCAAAGTTTATGTGTTTCTTTGCCAGCCTCAACTTGGAAAGCTTAAAATATTTATTTTTTCACTGCAGACGTTTCAGCAGTATCATTTGCGTTATGATTTTTGACTTCGTTTGTTTTATCATTATGTATTTTAATGTTCCTTTGTTTGTGATTTTGAATTTCGTCCATTCTTCTGGCTAGTAACTAGCCAGAAGAGTGGAACATAGGCCGAAACAAGAAAATGGATAGTAATCAAGTCCAGTCCAGTCCAGGCTAGTAATTAGCCAGCTTAGCCTTAGCAGAAAAAATGAGCTGGGTGTGCAAAAAAACACACGTGTCACAGAAGCCGCTCTGCTTCACTTTTTTCCAGGCACTTTCTGCGAGCAGTTTTGCAGAACAACGATTGGCTGCATGCCTTGACCACAGCAAACAAGCCATCTCAAACAAAGCTCGCTGTTTGCGTTGCAAGAACTATCGGATCAACATCTATCTATCTATCTCACTAGCTGCTAGCTAGCTAGCTGCTGCTAATTGCTAATTAAGAAGACTGCAACAACATTAAATTAACATCCACACCTCATTCCTAGTGCTTGGCACTAGAACAGTGGATGATTTGTGGGTAAAGCGGCTTTGGCTTTAGGACTTTAGGCCTTGAGTGACACATCCTCCATACGAAAGCCATATGGCGTGTATGGTCTAACTGCCTCACATCCATTCTTCAAATAGTGCCTCTTGACATAAACGCATTCAACCTTGGCCACATTGGCCTTGGGCCTGGGAAGCTTTGGTGGTGTTTCAAACTTGGCTTCCCTCTTCTGTGGCTCAGGCAACTCAAAAAGAAACTGATTTGGCGACCTGACGGGTTTCCAGGTTGCGGTGGACCAGGTGGAAAATTCTCTGAAAGGTAGCGGCGTTCGGCCACCACTTCAGGAGGAGAACTCCACAGCTGTCAGGTCCAATCTTCTCATCCCAAGTAACAAAATCAACCATAGGGATTGATCTGCCACATGAAGGGGCTGGTGAACCAGGAGCTGACATTGCCCTTCGCTCAGCGATCACTTCTGGTGGAAGAAGACCGTCGCAGACATTCTGGTTTTCGCGTTCATGTCCATACGCCATCGCTGACTGCTGGTACCGCTCGACCGTATTCAGCCAGTGAAGCCAGGCTCAGATTGTGTCAGCCAGAAATGGCTGAAAGCGAAAGGAAACTCAACAAACAAACATGTTCTGTTCTGCAAGGCACATCCCTTGCCACACTGCACAGCACTGCCAATCAAAGTCTGTTTTGCAGTTTTGCCGTTTTCAAATATTGCCTTTCCAGAATGTTTGTGTGTTTATGCGTGTGAAAATTGTGGATGTATATACAGTAGTTTATGTCATATCACGTCACATGTATGCGAGTGAGTGGGTGTTTCTTGCATTGCACACAAAGTCTCTCTCTCTCTCT